AGGAAGTTAATTGTCTATGCGGTATTTGGAACAGGGAACATTTCGTTAAAATGGCTTCCCAAATTTTCTTCTTGAGTTCGCAATTTTCCTGCCAAAAATATTCATGAGGCCGTACGTGACAACCACGCAAGGCCGGGGAGCTGAGTTTGATAAATTTAAGCCATACATGGGCTGGGAAAATTTCCTGAAAATTTCAGCCTCCGGGCTTTTCTGGTTCCTGAGTTATCCATTTTCCCGCCAAAAACTTTCAAGAGGCTGTACGTGGAAACCACTTGCACTAAAAGGCTGAATTTGATAAATTAAAATTGTACTTGAGCTGTGAGCATTCCCTGAAAATTTCAGCCTCCCAGCTTTCCTGGTTTTTGAATTAGCCATTTTCGCGCCCGAAACTTTCACGGGGCCGTACGTGAGTACCACACGCAATTAGGGGCTGAATTTGGTTATTTTAAGTTGCACATGTGCTGGGAACACTCACTGAAAATTTCAGCTCCCCAGCTTTCCTAATTCCCAAGTTAGCGGTTTTCGTGTCAGGAACCCTTACGGGGCCATACGCGGGAACCACGCACGCCTGGGGGCTGAATTTGAAATCTTTGAGTTCCATGGAGACGGGGACATAACCTCAAAATTTCAGCCTTCTAGTCTTTCTGGTTCCCGAGTTAGCGATTTTCCTGCCAAAACTTTCACCCCCTCGTTCGCGGGGCCCAGACTTGCGTGAAGGTTGATACCGCGGTCCTGGGGTGGCACTTGGCCGGGGAACCCACCAGTAAAATTTTGGCGCCGGACCTTGCTTGGGTGCCGAGTTGAAATATACGGACAGACACACACACACACACACACCGGGGCCGCCACAATATGCGTTTTTGCATTTACATATAAGCAAAAACGCAAAAAAGTACAAGCACTTAAGGAAGTAAAAGCAAACCCAGGCTGGAACGCACCGGGCAGGCCCGTGCGGTCATGCGTCTTTGCACCGGACTTGAAGTACTCAGATCGTTAACTGCATGAATAGTTGTTGCTTTACAACTACCTTTTGCGATCACTAGCATAAATCATAAATTTCGCATAAAGCAGATGTACAATTTCCATTTAACAATCGTTCTTTAAAAGTAACCTAGTTGCTCAGTCAGATTCAGCCAAAATTTCAAGTGCCCGTACATAAGAATCACGCGTAATTCAAGGCTGGGATTTGAAATACTTAAGTTGTACTTGGGCAACGGACATCCCCCCTAAAGTTTCAGCCTTCCAACTTTTCTAGTTGCCGAGTTAGTAATTTTCCCGTAGGAACTTTCATAAGTCCTTACGTAAGTACCACGCATAGCGTGGGGCTGAATTTGAAATGTTTGAGTTGTACTTGGACGGGAAATATTCTCCCAAAGTTTCAGCCTTCCAGCTTTTCTGGTTACCGAGTTAGTAATTTTCCTGCAGAAACTTTCATACGCCCTTGCGTGAGTACCATGCATAGCTGGGGGCTGAATTTGGAACATTTGAGTTGTACTTGGATAGGGGACATTCTCCCAAAATTTCAGCTTTCTAGCCTTCCTGGATCCGAATTAGCAATTTTCCCCCTATAACTTTCAAACGCCCTTGCGTGAGTGCCACGCACACCTGTGGGCTGAATTTGAAATCTTTAGCAAGTACATGCACAGGGAATATTTCCACAAAGTTTCAGCCCCTTAGCTCATGTGGTTCCCGAGATCGTATTCCCGCCAAAAAATTTGCATATTTTTTTAAAGCGTCTGTACGCGGCACCCAGGCGTCCGCGGGGGATGATATTAAAACGGGAGGGTCGCGCATGGTATAGGCACATATCCCCAAAGTTTCAGCCTTCTAGCTTTTCTTTCTCGAGTTGAAAGTGGGTGACAAAAAGTGCG